ATCATTTTACGAGTGTTTCCTTCGTGGTTAAACAACAATCTATGCCTTTTTCAAAGATTTAGTAGCGGCGGTCAAGTTTAAGGATGCAACACGTTACTGTGGGCCAGTCGCTCAGCCTTGAGAGGAGTCACAATACCTACACACACAATTAGAGGCTTTAAGATAAGACTTTAAAGATGAAAAAAGAAAACTTTATTAAAAATTATTTATTAGTACACTAAGCATTTTTAATCGTTAAAAAGGTGTTACAAAGGTGTTAAAAGTATTTTAACTAACTTATTTATGATTAAAAGTTGAATACAATAATAAGTAAAATAGCATCCATAAACCACAAAGGTTTCTAAATATAAATAATAATAATATGCTCCATCTACATTTTTTCTTTCTTTCTATCATTCACATGTTGTTGCAAATAGTGTAAAAATCGGGCTTAATTTATAATTTTGATAACTTGGTAAGTTCATGTCTAAGTGTCGAAATCAGTGTTTTTTTTTTATTAAATAAGAAGTAAGATTTCAATTTTATTTTGTTATTATCTCATGTAATGTTATTACATAAATTAGAAAGTGGTAAGTTGTTTATTAATCGGGGAACTTAAAAAAAAGTTGATTGTTTGCCGTAGATGCTATTAGCACTGGTAGTGTAAAATCAAATTTGTACGACTGCTCGCCTGTATAAGCAATTTTTAATTTTTTCGGTAACTTTTTTATTAAAGAATTGAAATATTAAAGTAAGTATTTATTTTATTTATTTATTCATTTTATGAAGGCTTACAGACTAATATCTTCGTAAAGTTACAAAATGGTGGAAATAATTGCTCATTTCAAACCTCCAATATTATAATGTTATAAATGGATGAAAATTTTACGATGTTTAAATATGTAACTTAACGTTATCGCTTTAAAATATTAATGTTTGGAGGTAGTATGTATTAAATAATTTTAGTTGAAGCCTATATATTTGATTGAGATATGTTTTATATGTGCACCCATAATATATATACTGAGACCTTATTGTATAAAACATTCAACTAATGTTATAAAGCATTAACTTAACTTTAAAGGTTATGCGGTTATAAAGAATTTTAATATTCGTTAAAAATTGCAATAGCTTATTAGAAACGTATTCTATATGTTAGTTCTAATTGTTACAGCTACATGTAATATCAGGCCGAGTTATGGTGTGTGCAACTACGGTAATGGCCTTAATGTGCGGAGATTTGGTAACTACCACTTTAGTTTTTTTGCTATTTAGTACTAGACTGGCATCACGGCACAATCTTAATAAAGAATCTACATCAGACTACAGAACTAGAGGTTTTTTGTGGAATCTTATGCTTACTTATTGCTAAAGGGTTTGTGTCATCTTTGCAGTAATTAAACATTTTTTTCAGTAATTAAGGTAGTTATTCATAAAATTAACCATTTAAAAAGTGAAAGGGGCCCCAAAACTGATCCTTAAACGGTGCCTGCAATCGCTTTAAAGGGTTCACTAAATGAATTTTCAATTTTTACTGTACATGCTACTTTTGAGGTAGTTTTTGCACAATCTCAGCAGCAGGTCCCACACTCCATGGTGATCTAACTTATTTATTAGTTGCTGGTGTTCTATAGTATCAAACGGACGTGCAAATCAATAAATAAAATGAACACAATATTTTTTGATTAAATTTTTATTCACATCGTCAGTAAACTTCGATAGGAGCTCTGTCGCGCCTTTTCCCATCTGAAAGCCGAATTAATTCTGTTATATTACGTCATGTTTCCTATAGAATTTGTGCACTTTTTTACAAACGTACTTTTTAACTATTTTGCTTATGGAGATCTTACCCATTTTATAGGTCTTAGACAAGCAAGTTTTAGTTCGTCAGGTTACAAGCGGGATCTCATACTACAGGTGTTTGTACAGGTGAGTAATAGTCGATTATATGTTTCTTGCCGCACCATTTTAATATCAGACATACTTATATTGTCTAGTCCTGGGGCCTTATTCACGTTTAATTTACTTATGGTTTTATTTATTTTACAACCTGAAGCATTTTGATAATATAAGTTTGAATCGATTTTTATGTTGAATGAATCCAGTATTTTTATACTTACTTATTGCTAAAGGGCTTAGGAATTATATCATTCACTACCCCAAATCCGGTTGCAAACTTATCAACAATGGTTTCATTGGTAAGATTTCGTGCATCAAACGCTTTTAGAATCGCTGCATCGATCGATGATTGTACTCGTTCTAGAATTTGACTAATTAATATACACACTTTTATAGTATTTCTAAAGTTTTTATTTACTTTATTAATATAATACGAGTTCCTTTTAATATCTAAAATTTTGTTTACTTCATTACGGATTTTATTATACTTTAACTATAATTTAGGATCATTTTTACTTCTTTTTCATAAGCTAATATTTGTATCGATGGAAGTATATTTAAGTGTGTTATTTTTTTCTTCAATCAACATAGATTACAAGAACCGACAATCTTTTCAAAACTACATAAATATCCTAGAACTTAAAGAAGGTATTACGAAAATAGTATCAGTGAAAGCTGAAAAATAAAATACGCTATATAAACATGGTAAATATAAATAAATAAGTACAGATAACTTTATCATATAATAATGTTGTGTAATAGCGGTGTACGCTAATGGTGTCTTTTCACAAATTAAGTGATAATTAAGGAACAGAAACAGTGGGATTTCCGTAAACACGAAAAATATCATCCATCTATCCATTACAGCCTATAAACATACACTGTTGGACATAGATTTATTTATGTTATATATTTATTTATAATATTTGCCACAGTCACCAGCTTGACAGGCGGGTTGGCAACCGCAGTTATTAATTATGTTGAATGCTGCTGCTGCTGCTGCTGCTGCTGCTGCTGCTGCTGCTGCTGCTTATATCCTCTTTCAATTTCCCTCCATTGTAGTTACTGTGAGCTCTGAGATTAGATTAAAATACATAAATGACTCAACGCCACCATTGAACAAATCCGTACCTACATTTCAAAATATAAAACATAACTTTCGAATGAACGGATTTTAATAAAACAAAGACTAAATGAATAAAGACTAAAATAGTACTCAAAGATACTCTTTCTTATTTTCTTAGGGATTGTTTTGATAAAAGTACATGAACCGAGATACGTTTTTGAAGACAGACAGACAAACAATTATAAAAATAACAGAAATGTATTTAATCACTTATTTTCAGTCCTTCTCAATCACCTTTGTCAAAAAAAGAAGTAATGTGCCTGACGTATGACATCTGCAATTTACATTTTTATCACATGCATAGATAATCGGCCTTTTATAAACGAACTTACTCCTTTTTATAAGACCGGAAACGCACCTAGAGTTCCCCTTGTTGTCGATACTTTCCATCAAGTGAGCTACATGATCGTTTGCCTTCTATAAAAAGTTATCTATATAATAAGTGAGTACGAGTTTGTTTGTTACTAACAAGACAAACCGATATTCTTTATCGATTTTAAAAAATCACCGCCTATGTTCTTATTTTTCTTTTTCTTTATAACTTTTTTTTTATAAAACGTTATGCGACTCCGCGGTGGGATATTTTTCAGTATCGTGGAGATCGCATACATAAATTGCTCAAGGACACATCGACACCCAATATGAATAACATTGTAATTCAATGTGACATGGTTAGAGCATAGCCATTTTAATTTTTTTGTAAAGTTTATAACTTATAAGTAGTTCTGTACAATTTTAGATTTCATGATACTGATTTTAATTGCTTTTTCAATTGGTTTAGATGCCGTTTTGATAAATCTACCGCAAGTATGATTTTTGCAATGTTACAATGTACAAGTTTTAAGCACTTTTAATATGAAAAGCATTGTAACTACCGCTACAATTGGGTCACGAAAACATTTGAAAGCTTTTTTCGGTGATTATTATTGTAACTTATTTTACAAATTGACAAATAGGAAATCTTTGATGAATGTTATTGTAATCAGCAACTACAATGTGAATCAATGTTACATTGGGATAGAAAGCCATGGTAAGTAGTATGCGAGAAATAATAAAAATCAATTTATAATATTTTATTCATTTTAATAGGCCGCCAGCACACATAACAATATTTAGTCTTCAATGTCGGAATTATTTGAAATGGTGTTTGAGTGTGGCTAGTTGGCATAAAAATGTCTATATTGCTGCGGAATTGCACCGCTGGAGCATAAGCTGCACAAGTCTTTGTACTTGTTTTGATTGATTGGGTGTAAGTTTTTATAGACTCTAACTAAATTATGATCCCACAACGCAGCCAAAGATTTATTTATATTTTGACGTCTAGTCTTGACTTTGCGGTAGTCTAAATCGCTGTAAAAATCATTTTGAAACATTATAATGTTTGGCAATTCGAAATTAATTTTAATATGATTAACTTTTGACCACATATTTTTTTTTATTATTGTCCAATTCCCAATTAGGAACTAAATTTAACAATGACTTAAAATAAAATATTTCATTTTGAGTGACATTGTTCACGGCGTAGGGTTTGCCTGTAATCTTAGCACAACGTATTAGTGTGTACCATTGTTGTGGTACATATACAACTTGGTTTTTCTTACGTCGCTCTATAAGAGCATGCATTGAGTCCCCTTCTGATTGGGAATGCCCAACTTCAAAGAAGTTGTGTGTAATAACTACACCAAATATTTTTGAGGCGTAAGCATACATTAGAAATACAATTCGGTTTCTATTTTGGCCACCACAGCAGTCTGAATAGAAACGAAATTCTCTTATACCTTTGGCAGCCTTCTTTTTTGAATCGAATCGAATAAGAAGCTAGCAATTTCGTTAGGGCCTTTTCTTCCAATACATTCATCCCACATATAACAGTGCCCTTCAGCAGATCCTATGTCGAAAATTGTAAAATTGAAAACTTGAAATTTTCTCTTGTAATAGAAGGTTAACACGTCAGACTGTGGAGTAGTTAAAATTTTTTGTAAATCAAAACATGCAGTTAACAATTTTTTTTAGATTGTTTGGCTTCTACCTTATCGTTGTCTTTTATTTGACGTATGATACATTTATTTGCCATATGCAATGCGTAATCACGTGTTGTGATTTCTTTTTCTAACTCTGAAGGTTTTTCATGAACCTCACATTTCAAAGATTGATCTTTCTTTGGCTTGAAGAATTCTATATTCAATTCTTTATAAAAGATCCGCCTGTACTGTTCTTGGATAGCTTTGGTATCACTTGGATTATTTTTAGTCATCCATTCAATGTAAAGAGAGTATAGCTTAGGAAAAGTAAGCGATTCTTCAAAATAAAGTTTGGATGTTCTTTGCCTTACGTAGTGAGATTCTTTGACAGGAATTGAATTAATATGCTGGCAAACTGAAATCTTAATATTTTCATTTCTTGCGTTCGCTATTGCTATCGTTTGCAATGACTTCTTCATTATTTTCATCCATTTTTTGAACAGCGTCGTTATCCACATATCTGTAATATTGAATGAGTCTAAAAACATTTTTACACACTCTGATTTTTCTCCAAGAACAGGTAAGTAATACTCATAAGTGCAATGGCGTTTGGAATTAATGTTGTTTAGTTGTACTGTTTTACGCTGGACTCTGGTTATAAATCAAGCTAAATACTCAACTTGTTTGTCATGATTACCCATTGCCCAAAATTGTGTGAATAATTGTTTTCGGTGATCATTAGATATATTTGTGTGACATTTCCTTTTGCAATCTTTATCTATTTTACATCCGGGTCCCAACGCTCTCTCTTTAACTAATTTACCTTTTTTGTTAGTATATTCTAAACCTGAATTCCGAAGGTTTTCAATTCATACATTTTCCAGTTTTGTGGATTTCTTTGCCTTTTCCTACCCGAAGTTTTTTTTGGATATACTCTCTTCTTTGTCATGCCTGCCCTTACCTGCCCCCCCACATTATTATCATTTTCATGACTGCTAGCTGTACCAGGTAGAAATACATTTTGAGGCGAGGAGCCAATCAAACGTGGATCTAACGGTATCTCCGGTTCGTGCCTATCCGCACTGCACGATGGATCGTCATTGGTAAGTATACCAACAAAATCTTGCTCCTGGTGCAAAGTTTCAGTCATAACTGGAGCTGGCTGCACGACAGTAACTCATAGGTGAGGAAGTCAGGTAGAGCCGGGTCTTGGTGAAACGTTTCAGTCATGGCTGGGCTTTTATTGATTAATCTTATTGATAATTTCGACCCAAAAATATTAATATCTTCAAGGACTTGAACCGTGCACAATCAGAGTCTGAAAAAATAAATATTTTTAAGCTAAGTAGAATGTTAAAAAAGCTGTAGATAAGAAGTTAATACTGGTGCCAATTATGACAGGCAGCTTTTTATATTAAATAAGCTTGAAGTTCTTTTCTTAGCTTAAACATTTGGTAAGGGTTGGCACGAATCTCAATGTTATCATTATTATAAATGAAGTAGAATGTAGATTCAACAAGTGGTGAAAAGTGCATGCTATAGCTTGATACAAAGGTGATGAAAGTACCTAAAACAGAGTTGTAATTTTGGTGTACAGGTCTTGAACTTGAAGCTAGCTTTACACCCAAATCACTAGGAGTAATTAGTGAATTAATTTCCACGTTATGGTCCTCTGCCTCTTGACAATTACTAAGTATTTCAGTGCAATCACTGTCTGAAAAAAATATATATATTAAGATCAAACCATCAAACTAAATTTAAGTAATACAAAAATTTTTTTCTATAAAATATGTGTCAATGAATTAAAAAGCTTAGGTAAGTAATATTCCATGTGCCTAAGTAATAAATATTATTTGTAGGCAGTTTAAAGTTACACGTACCAGTATCTTGAGCTTTTTGGCTGAGGGGGTAGATATTCGTCTGATAAATCATCAGCTGAAAAATCACCATCATTATCGTCTTCTGAACAGGCGTCATGAATGGGGCGATTACGCCGCTGTCTTAATTTTCTTTTAAAGTTTATTAATTCGGCATCTAGAAAAAAATAAAAGATTAAGTAGGTAGATATGAGTTATTACTGGAAGGGACATAACAAATAAAGGTAAGAATAATTTTTTAACAACAAGAATACCAACCATTGAGTAATTCAAATTGACATCTGTTGCGTTTCTTATAGATATCCATTTGATTTAAAGTGTCGTCAGTTGGAGTATCCGTACTTTCTGTGAATCAGATAATCATAAACTAATTTTATGGTATGTTCACTATTCATTAGGTTTAGGTGTTCAACTCAAGTCTAACTAGCGAAGTAACAAAAGTAAACACAAATCAAAACAATTGAAACTTTTAGGTTAATAAGATAGCGTGTAATATCTATGTTTATTACTTAGCCATTGATTCCACAACTGAGACATCTTTTTTGCGAAGGAGACTCACCATAAACTTCCCACGAGACTTCATTATCACAATAAATTTAATCCACAAACAGTCACTATCACTGGAACAAAACGTTCACTGAGCAGAAACCTGACAGTAATGGCGGTTATGTTTATGAATAAAAATATTGCTCGCTAACAATAACATGGTATATAATGATACTGTTATATTCAAATAACGAACTTGAAACTTAGTCTCGATGTCAACACCGCAACTTTATTTACAATTATAACGTTATCAAACATTTTAGAATAAAAACATTGTAATTTAAAATTACAACGTGGTCAAAGTAAAAACAGTTTAATAATTTAGATGAATAATATTGTATGTTCATTTGCAATGACTTTAACACAAAGAAACAATTGTTACTCAAACTTTTGTGTATTGCAACTTCATCTACAATTATAAACGGGCGTAAAACAGGGTTATGTCATGTCTTCCTGGCTGTTCATACTGTATCTCGACAGCTGTTTACAGAAGCTGAAAAATAGCTATTTGGGTGTGAAATTGTGTGACATAAAAGTTAATTGTCTGCTGTATGCTGATGATGCAGTGCTTATTGCACCATCAGAAGCAGAACTGCAGGCATTAGTCACGTGTATGAAAGAGGAATGTGAAATTAAAGGTCTCCTTTGAATGCTAATAAAACTAAGGTTCTGGTATTAGAAAAGGACGAAGAGAGAACGAAATGTGAAATATGGGTAAATCAGGAATGTCTAGAACAGGTAAATGAAATTGTATACTTGGGGAGTGCTTTCAGCCGGGATGGAAGATGTGATTTAGATGTGGATAGGCGTGTCGCTGCCGGAAACAAAGTCAATGGTGCCCTGAATGCATTAGTAAAAAGGCGTGGTGAAGAGTGCACGCCTTGCAATACATAATGCAGTGTTGGTACCGACTTTGTTATATGGCAGCGAAACCTGGGTATGCCAGAAGAAGCATAAAAGCAAGTTGAATGCAGTGGAGATGCGATACATAGCTTAAAAGTATAAGTCAGGTAAATGGGGAGCCTGCTACTTTGGACTCCCGCACAACACCTCAGGGAGGAGGGAGCGGCTGAAAAACAGCTCTGTATGAGATCTGTATCTCGTTACAGACAAAGCTGAGCCGTCTCCTTTTGTCTCAAATAATTATAATGTTCTTTTGTTTTTAACGTGAATGTAACTGTGTGTTTTAGAGGCAATAAAATTTATTATTATTATTATTATTATTATCTCTTCGTAAAATGTGTGGCGTTACCATAGCCGACCGAAAGCGAAACGAAAAGATTCGCAATATGGCAGGATTGAAAGATGACCTTATCACAAAAATTGATAGGGTCGTACTCCAATGGTTTGGGCACGTTGAACGAATGAGTGAAGACCGAATGGTGAAGAAAATATATAGAGCGAAAGTAAATATTAAAAGGTGTCGAGGTAGACCGAGACTAACTTTCGAAGACCATGTGAGCAAATTGCTCGAAGAGGGGAGGGTCAAGAGTACTCGGATACCTAGACGTGCATGTATGAAGAAGTTAATGAACCTGAAAGAAGCGAAAAAGGTATGTAAGGATCGTGACACTTGGCGATCTGTTCTCTCTGGCTACCCCATTAGGGATTGTGCGTGAAGATAAGCAAGTAAGTAAGTAAGTATCTACAATTATACTTCAACGGAAACACAATACATTTTCTATTACAATGAAGTTATTCCATTTCACAAAAGTACTTCTTATTGTCATACAGATACGGTTCAAAGACCGAAATAAAAGTCTGTTCTTGCTGAATTCATATGACATAAATAAGTACCAACGTGTAACTACAGTTACAATGTTGTTCATATTGGGTGTCGATATCTAGACCTGGCGTGTTTTATGCAGAATTCAAATCTCTAAAGAGCTACAGAACGCTTCGTTACGGTGCTACGGAACCATCAGCACTCTTTGAAGTTAATTAATTAAATGTGTGATTGATATTATAAAATTGAAATTGAAGCATCCTAATGAATATATACACTAAGAAAAATGTCTGTGACAGACAAGTAGACACCAAGATGATTCCATGATATTGTGTTCCGTTATTTTAGCATCGAACAAAACATATTTAAAGATGCTTAATATATTACGCGAACCATATACGTTACAATATATTAAAAAATATATATACATATGTTTTCTGATGAAGTAACTATTTTGAAATAAAATATAAATTTCTAAACTAAGCAATAAAAATCATATCGAACCGTTTCCTAAGAAAACGATTACTTAGCTAAATATAAATAAGGAACTTTATTGCCATGGTAACATAAGCTCTCAACAACAGGGAATGGTAATTACGTGCTTAATTGCACCTTTGAGTGCAAATTAATTTGAAACCACTGAGCTCGCAGTACAATGTACTCGTAGTTACCTGTTGGATCTAATATTTTTGTGACTAAATACGAAAGTATCATTGTACCATAATTTTATGTCACTTTTGATCATTAAATTTGACGTATGATAACGTCAGATGCTCCTAGTGTCTTGTCCGGCTATATAAATCCGTATCCATCCTCTCAATTATTTCTGCCATTAAATAGCAGTGCTCGCACTGTTACGTTCCGGAATTAAGGGTACAGAGAGCCAGTATAATTAGAGACTGTGAGGCATTCGATCGTAGTTCTTAAAGGTGACAACCCAATAGTAGTCTTGTTTCTTTGATTTTGGCTGCGTGTGTCCATGGACTGCAGTAACTGCTTAAGATCACAAGCACTGGTAAGTTAATTTGTTTTTATAAAGTTTTTATAAAACAAAGAGAAAAATATATACGTCCCTAGCACGTTGAAAAGTTGTGAGGGCCTATTCGGGTTCTTTAGGTTTTATATCGGCGTTTTTGTGGGATTTTAAAGCTTCAATACAAACATATATTTTGTTAAAGTAAGTTAAATTAACATCCTCGATAAGTGCTATTACCGGGCACAGGTCTCCTCTTATTTCCGAGAGGGTTTTAACGCAATAAATATCCGCAGGGCTGCCTCAATGCCTGTTGGCGAATTTCGTAGGCAGACGTGCAGGTTACCTCACGATGTTATCCTTCAACGTCGAGCACGTGGTAAATCAGCACTTAAAATTGCAACTAACAATTTCATTGGTGCCGAC